ACCGTATGGTCGCCTATGTTACGAGATGGTGCATGAAAAGACAGGTCTTCGTGTAGACGCCGACAAGAGTTTTATTAACGATGAAAGAACAACGAATGTCATATTTGAAATTTGTTATGTAACATTTGATAATACTTGGTGTCTTTTATTTTTATCGTTAGTAAAACTCTTATTGACGCGAGAGCCGGATCGTTTTTTTTTTTTTTATTTTTTTTTGGTTGTGCACCACTCTGTATAAATTACATACACAACGAACACGGCAGTGATTATATATACATATTTATATCTCTATACATATCGTTCACTACGCTCTACGGTACTCGCTGTTCGAAATTTTTCCTACGGATCCAAGTTAGGACTTGTTCGTCGAGTAAACTTCAACAATCGATTTACCACAACAATTAGTCTCGACACTCTACTTTATTTTCCAAAAAAGAAAACATCGAAAAAATGTATTTAACAACGGTTACAATCGTTTTCGTAAACACGCTCGCTGCCGGCCGATTCACGGCCTTCTACAACTCCTCCAAAGCTAAGGGACGCCAATTGGCGTTCTCGCATAAGCAGAGAAAATTAAGGCAGTGTGTCTCTAATATTTGAGGGAAAGATCTGTGTGCCTGTAATTATTAGCTTATGAATTAATTTTTGTTTATAAGATTATTGCCTTTGTTTCATAAGGTAGTTGAAAAATATTGCTGGCTTCAGGTGTCAGATAACTAAAGTCGGCAGCAAACGTGTAAGACGAAGAACACGATCACTGTTGCCGCCAATCTGTACAATATTTCAAAACGTCTCTCTATTTAAAAGACGTATGTCTAATTAATCAACCTGACGAGTGACAAAAAAGTGCATGGATTTCATTTTCATCGTCATGGGTCTGTCGAAACACGACACTTCCTTCTCGCGGATAAAAAAATAAATGTGTGGGATTGGATGGCGACCGTATTGCAAACTCGTGATTGCAATTTGAAACAATTGAAGAAATTTATTCACAGTTGTTGTACGAGTGGGAAAAGAATTAATGTCGTTTCCTTCTTTTGTTGGTGGTTTTATATAAGCACGTAGATTACATAATATCACAATGTTTGTTACGAGAAGAAAAAAAGAATAATAAACTTTGATCGTAAAAATCCAAGTTCGCTTGAAGGAAAATTAATAAAATATTTAAAATTATATTTTAAAGCCTCTAATCTTCATGAAAGACGTTTGTGAGAAAATGAAAAGTAGATTTAAAGAATTTGTTTTGATTAAAATCGTTTATAAAAAATATTCATTCCTTTGTATAAAAAAGGAAAGACGAGTTGGATACAAAATCAGATAAAAAGAGAACGCGAATATCGAAATGTCTTTTTTTTTACGACCGAAATTATATGCATGATGTTATTATGCTTTTGGTAGTTATATGCGCATATATATATATATATATATAATGATTCAATTGCGCTGAAAAAATCACAATTGACGATAAACCCCTTTATACAGCACTCTTTTATCCTACCTTTTTATGCTATTATTTTACAACAAACGTTTCGAGTGCGGATTATTAAGAGTTTTCCTCAAGATTTTTTGTATCGCGCTTTTTATCTCATTGCATATATCACTGTTGCATATGTTAGGATCAGTTTTCGCATTATGAAAGCTGCCTTCGTATAAGTCACGGCCAAAAGGACGCAAACGATAACGAAATTTTCTTTTTTCTCCTCATTTTCGACAATTAATTGAGCGAAAAACTCGACTCGATTGTGATAGTAAAATGTTCACCAACCAACAGGGAGAGCTTATGCGATTCCTTCCGTCTTTTGCGAGCACGATAGAGTTGAACTACACGATGATAACTATATAAATAAGAAATTAAATATTACAAAAAAATTAACCATATAATTTTATCAAGGCTATAAACGTCGTAATCAAGGTTTAGCATTTTTTTACTTTTTAGGTATGTAAGATACTAAAGTCAATGATTGCTAAAATATTTGCAGTATAAAACAATTACGTGTAAGTGTCAATACTACAATCTTTATATTTAAAAAACCTTATTTATTTAACTATTATGATCAAGAAATTTGAATTTCAAAACTTTTATGGTCAAATTTTTCTTACGAAACGCGCTTTCTCATTTATATTGCATAATTCAACTGCTTCCTGTGAGGAAAAAAATCAAAGAATGTCGCATGACGAATGGTCGACCATAAGCTCTCCCAACCGCAATTCTTCCGCGCAATCCACGGAATGTCCTTAGAAAAATAAAGGAAAACGCGAGTGTCACGTTCGTTTGCCTTAAACAACTCTAAAACAGGCGTATCGATCTTACGGCTAGTTAGTAAATTACGCGCGATTATAATTTCTCGCGCGACGTGTTAGTAGAATTGATTAAATCTACGACATGTCTGCTATTCAGAAATAGTTATTCTGTAATAATAATAATTACTCTTTTTCATAGTCTATCAAAATATTCATCACAGTGCTACGGACACAAAGTTGTGTTCTGATTTATATATATATACATATACATATACATACATATATATATATATATGCGTGTGTATATATACATGATATATATATGTGTGTGTGTGTGTGTGTGTGTGTAAATAAGTCATCATTTTTTAATCCCGGGAAAAACTCGCGAGTTCTGATCGCTCGCGTTTATCAAATCGCCAAAATGAACGGAACAAATTATTCATTGCAAATCGCAATCATTGTAAATCACAATAATTTTCTGCGAAAAGAGAATTTCGATATTTTTCTCGGGTTTATTCTCCTCGTCAGAAATGAGATAATGCTCTATTGCGAGAACGCAATAATAACACACGAATAACTTTGTACTCATCATTGCACATATCACTCAGATATCGTATGTGTTTTTGATCTTCCTCGATATTTATATTGGAACGAGAGACCGAATTCGTCGACGTTTTTCCACGCTCGTATCACGCCCTTTTGTTCAATTTAACGTAGAGTGCTACACACACAATGGCAGTATCATCCTGCTTAAAAATTCTTACTCTCTACATCTGACTATATTTACAATAATAAGTTGAGAAAATGGCCTCTCAACGAGATCGTCCAGCTTGCGATAAACTCCGTAAATGAAATGATTTAGCAACATTGTGTGAACGAAACGGGACAAAAGCTCCGAAGTGAATTCTTACTGCGAATTTTAAATTGACCGATTTCATTTACGATTATTACACGTTGGATTGGAAACAGAAAGACTTATCGGTTTAATATTAACAGAACTTTCGAACTCTAATATCACTATCGTTATTACAAAAACGAACAAACTGCGCGAACTTATTCTACTTTACTTCTATGCAGCATCCTAGACTGTGAACGCGAATCCACGGATCGAAATGACACCGGAAGTGTAATTGAGCTTCGAATCAATTTTACGAACCAATCGTGTTAGAATTTAATAGTCGGAGTGCCAAAAGTGCAGGATTTAATTTTCCAACGCAAAAGACTCGATAAATGGGTCAATTTTTTCATGAAAAAAAAAGGAAGAAAATGTATTATGAATGATTCCAACACGAATGGTGAATTCTTTGAATTTCTTTCGCCACTCTTTTACGCTCTTTCGACCTTTTCTCGACCCTCCTTAACCCTTTGCGATTTAAAGTAATTTCCAAAAAAAAAAAAATAATGTTTAATAATTAACTGAGAGCTACAGTTTTCGTCTTAACATTATCACAATTCGCTAACGCAACAACCTATCTCTACTAGTCCCAGTGCTCGTAAGATTTTAAGCACGAAGTTTAGAAACGATGACAAATAAGAACATTCCGATTGCTTTTTCTTTACACCCGCACGAAAGATTGTTATTGTCCATATCCGCAAAGGGTCGAAAGAACAAAAATTGATTTCCCGATCTGGATTATTCATTGATCACACTTCGACTTGAAGGGGACTGGGCGGGCGGAACGATTGACAGCAGCCCCACGGAAAGTACCACGTGGCTCAGCACCTTGGCGAAAACTTCGGGTTCGTAGGACCGTGGATGTAGCTCCTGAGCTCCTTCGGCGGCTCGGAGCCCAAGTCCGATGCCGTGTCCACGTCGGATTTACGGCAGATGATCATACGGATGTCCGTATGCAAATAAATTCGGCCTGATTTGCTGGACATAAATCTGAAACGAGATTTCGTGTTAATTGTCTATTCCCCGCTTGTGTTCCACCTTCTTATTCCGTTTAGAGCAGCGCGTCTCACCTAAGATGAACGAGGTAGCGTAGTGTTTTGTCCCGCAGTGTTCTTTGACGTAAAAAAGTATGAGATCGCGGTGGCATATCGGTTAGATCGTACAATACTACGAACATTTTAACGACTGTACCCAGCGGATTGAGAAGAGTCACTTGGATGGTGCCACTTCTTGGTACCTGATAGCCCTTTTTCTCCAGATTAATATGAGCCTGCAAAAGAGTAGCGGGTGAGCAATGCCTAAAGTGGAAAAATTAGAAAGTTTTTAATATTTCATTATCAAATAATTTAACCATCGTCCGCATCGTTAAAGCTTTCACTTTTCGACAGTATTCTATTTTATATATCGCGTCATATTAACTTGCTATTCGTTTATTGCACGGCGGACATCCGTATTTATAATTAAATTAGACACAACGTGTATCGTTTGTTTCTTTGTAAACGTACAAGGTATGGCGTGGAGACTTTGTCGTTGTCACCGAGCGTGTAGAAGAACACGGTAACTGGAAGTTTCTGGTGCTTCGGGCAGAAGGAACCGCTGGCTCCGAGCTCCGCTGTGAAACCGTGAACCGTGGACACCGGTTCGAGTCTGCCGTTCAACGCTGACTCCTCGAAGCTGCCTAAAAGAGCGTGACTCTGCGGCCGGTGGCGAGAGTTGGACCGTCTCTTGGGCGTCTCCGTCTCGCGATCGGTTTCTTCCAACGATACCGCGCCCGGACTTGGCGGTGTGTTTAACTCGAACAACGCGCTGAAACGAAAAACATCAGTTTTGAGAAAAGAGCTGTCTCAATGTCAACTCAACGGCATCGATAATAAATATTGTAACCGCCGATTTGGACGTAGATTTTACAATCCAACGATTTTGTCGGTAACTTGTTTAAAAAAAAGTAGCATTTCTTTAAATAACATTTGACTTTAACAAGTAAACAATTTTCAAAAAAAAAAATTTCTATGCGAATTTAAAAAAATTCTAAAAAATTTTTTTTAATCGATAGTTTTTTTTGTCGATGCCGTTGGAAGTGTCCAATATTTTTTACGGATCATACTTTCTCTTGGAAGAGACGGAGTTCAAGCTGCTGTCGTAGTCGAAGCAACAGCTGCCTCTCCTCAATGGCGCCGGGCTGGAAGTCAACGGCAGACCGGTTCTGCTGTGAAACACCATTGACGCCGCGTTCTCGAGAGATCTGCGGAATCTCTCCTGCTCAAGGGCGGACGGCACGCTCTTGTCGACAGTCTCGTCGTCGCCTGTCTCCGCGATGCCATCCTTGTGATTGCCGTTTCGTACTTTGGAAGACGGATGTCCGTTTTGCGCAGTGGTCAGCGTGGTCAAATTATTCTTCTGCAGAATAGCAATGTCCTTCTTCTCGCCCCGCTCCTCCTCCACGGCAGGTTCCTTCGCGCCTTCGAGCAATCGCCTGTCGCGATGATTCTGCCGGTTGTTCAGACCCGCGGAATCGCACTCGCGATTGTTATTTGTACTGCGCGACTCACGCGGCTTTTGATGCGTTTCTTTTGCTCGCGGAACCGCCGTGTCCTCCTTCTCCTCGGTGACTTCCGGAAAGTTCACGAAGTCGATTCGCCGCTTCACCCTGCTGCTTCTCGCGTTATGCAGATTCGGTTGTTCGTTGTTATAACGAAGCAGCGCCGAGTTGGAGCGTTGCGACGGTGTCGGGCTCGGCGTCGTCTCTGGCGAGAAAGGGCCCTCTTCCGCCATCATGGCGATCCTCTTGTCCACTTCCTTCTTGAATAGCTGCCGAAACCGATGGAATCTTTTGTTCAACGGCAGGAATTTGTCGTCGTTGGACAAGCCGGCGGTTCCGTTGTTCTGCTGATCGAGCTTCTCGACGCTCGAAGAGCAAGAATCATCATCGCTGCTGTCATCGTCGACGATAGTTGTCGATCTCGGACTGGTCCCATTTGACGAAACGTCCGGCGGATCTTTCCGGTCCTTGCTGGTCCGCAGAATCGCTCCGAGCAGCACGTCCGCCTTCGTGGAAACGTTCTGCAGGTGATCCGCGTCTCCGTTCGCGCGCTCTTCGTTCAACCTGTTGGCACGTCTGTCGGCGGGATTCGGGCGCGTGGGATGGTAAACATTCTTGTCGTAGTAGACTCGGTCCAAAGGGCTCGACTGCTCTTCCGGTATCTGATGATCTATCATCTTGCACGATCCACGATTGCAATCCTCGCAGGACTTCAGCGCGCGGACTCGGCAAACGCCAGCGGGCCGATTCATCGAGTTGCTCCGCATTGCTTCTTCATCCGGACTCGCGCATTTCGCCGGAATCTTCTCCACGCCGTCACCGCCTCTCTCGGGTCGCTCCACATTGCGCCTCCTCACATTTTTCACAGTGGATCTTCGACGTCCCGATGGTGTCCGCGCTCGCAACACCGCCAAAACTTCGTCGACCTCCCGCTGGCTCAGCTCTAAATTGCAGTTCTTGAACTTGATCTCGTTGGCGCCCTGTTGCCCGGCTGGATGCTCAGGCTGCTTCAGGCTTCCGCTCTTCGTCTTATTGCCGCCCACGTAGCCTTTCGTAGCCGCGACGCCCAGGACTCTTCCGGACACTTTACTGAACCAATCCAGCAATCCACCCTCCTCGCTCTTGTCCTTCTCATCGGGGATCGACAGTCTCCACATCAACTGACCCAGGTCCGACTTGCCGGTTTTCCTCTGACTGTTCCTGAGAGCGTTATCCTCCTTGTTGATCTCCAACGCGTCTTGACCGGTCGACACTCGCGCCTCGGCGACGATCTTATTGACATTCTTCGAGCAGCTCTGATGCACCGTGCAAGCGGAATTGTCTAGCTTCTGCATCCATTTGTACGTCGACGGTCCGGGATTTGACTCGTGGAAGGGAGTAGGCTGAGCGTAGGGATCGTTCGAAGCGTTGTGCAGCGTGTCCTTCACGATCAACGGCTTGTAACTTCTCTCGGAGTCGTTGAAACGGGCTTCCTTCACGCCGCGCAAGCTCTGAAATTTGCTGTTCATATTGCTGTTCTGCCAAGAGGAGACGAAGGGCCAGACGGCGGGAGCAAAGGGCGCAAAGTTGTCCAAGAGGCCGCCGCCTTTCGTCGCGGATGTCATCTCCGACGCGTCACCGGATCCTGTCCCGACGTTAGTGGAATTCTTAACCGAGTTGTTGTAGCTCTCCTCGATCCGGTCGACGTTCATCTTCGGATTAACGATCTCCTCCTTCGCCGTGCGCTTGCAGCGTTTCTCCAAGTTGCCTTCATGCTCCTCGATCTTCAGCTGCACCTTGAACCAGTGCTCCAGGTGATCCGAGTTCAGATTGTTGCGAGTCCTAACCTCATTCCTGTTCTCCGGTCTGTTCTGCAGGGTCCGCGTTGCGCTACGATTGTTGTTCATCATCTCGGCGGAGCCTCGCGGGTTCGCGTTATCCTTTGTCTCCTGCGGGATGTGTTCCTGAAGGGACGGCAATGGCATGGGTTGCGAGGTCACGCAAGGACTCTCCGCTGGGCCGCAGGGCAGCGACCGGCGACGTTTCCGCTCACCGTTTGATCTGATAGTGGGCGACAGAGGGGACGCGTCCTCCTCCTCGCAGCGACAGTCGTGCTTACCGGACTTGTTGCAGGTGGTCTGCAGTCGGTCGTCCACCAAAGCTGCCGGAAAGAATTATTTACATAATTTACATGAATAATTCTACATAATTAGCGATCGCTTCAACATCAGAGTCGGTTTGCGGTTCAGAAATACTGTTTATTAATTAAAACACAATAATTTGTGCATTATCTTTCAAATTTATCTCGCAAACAAAATTAAAAAAGAAATAACATAAATAAGAAAGTTTGATCTCGTGAATGCGCTTAACAAGAGACATAAGAATCAATTTGTAAGAGAATTGATTGTAGATCTTCGTGCAATCGATATTTGTTCATTACCAGGCAAGACGAGGCTCTCGGAGTTTTGTGACCCGACAGATCCCATCGGAATGCTCTTGGTAGGCGTTAACGCTCTCGCAATATCTTCCTCGTCCTTTTCCTTTTTCGGATGTAGAGAGCATGTAAGCACGGGTACTTCTTCCATTCGCGGCAATGCCCAAACGGTTACCTAGAATTTACACAAAAACAAATGACGTTGATTTCAATTTAATTAATTGTTTAATTTTAATCCTTAAATATCACAGTGAAAATTTGCACAATGGGATGCGTGTAATTTCATCAATATTTTATATCACATAATAAATTTCGCAACATTTATTAATAAAGTTTTTACATCTTATTTTTGGAATCTAAAAACAGTAACATAAAAAAAGAGCAAGACGCATCGACGCAATAAAACACAAAAAGCGAATAATCTGATAAGATTTAGTACAAAAGTACGGAATAATTTTAAAGTTTATTTTCTTATTTTTCAGAAAAATTCTTTTACACGGAACTTGAATTTTTGTATTGGATAATTAATTTATAACGTTTTGCATTAATAAATTTTCAACGTGACTTTATAATGTAATTTACACTTTTTTTTTCTTACTTTGATAGAATTTCCATCGTTGTTGCCAGCCAGAGGGAAGGTGTGCTCCACCGGCGGCTCGCGGAACTTGCTGAGATTGTCCTCGTTATGCGATATGATCCGGGTGGCTACGTAGCACGACTCCGCGCCGTTGCTGCGTGACCACCATGCTGCGACCTGGCTGAAGTGTAATCGCGAACGTACTGCTTGATATAAGCCTTGAAAATTCATCGATTCTGGACTCCTAGAAGAATTCAAATATATAGAAGAACAATGGAACAAAGACATATCTGCTTTCTAAATGAATTTATAAGTATGGAATTTATAACTTTTATAATCAGACAGGATAATCGGAAGATAATTTGAAACTAGAATTAAAACGCTACGCAAGCTTAATTTCTTAATCTTCTAAACTTTAGAACCACCTTACACCGAGTGTAAAATAAGGCTGGCGCGACTCACTTGCTCGGAACAACGCAGATGCACCAGTACTCCAATAACATTTCCGAAGTGCATTTCTGCCATTGCGAGATGGAGGGTGGAACGGGATAATTGTATGTGGATTTTGCCAAACCGCACGGACAGTCGCTGCACAAAACCACCTCCACGCACAAATAAGATCCGACAGCGAGGCGTTCTGTAATCTCCTCAATTAGCACCCGGTATCGATTGCACTTTGAGAAATGAAAGAAGACAAGATATTAGTGAAAGCAGTTTTGTAAAAAGGTAAAGAAGACATACAACATACATTGCTTTCGTCATAACTTTCGTGTAGAAAAAAATATATATTTTGATAATTTTTATTAAAATTAAAAAAACACTATTATAATTTTGTCAGAAATACACACGATATTAGATTTATTTAATACTGCTATTGCAAATTTTGCATTTATAATTTTTTTTTTCGATAAATACATATGCACTGTTTAAATTATATAATTATTTTATTTTTACTACTTAATGTATTTGAACTTTTCGTTAATGACTATTTTACTACTGAACTTTTTATTATCGGATTATTAAGGTTTCTTCGACGGCTCTACACTCCACTGGGAAAGACGGCGCAAAAGTAGGTCGCCTAGGAACAACGGAGAGCAACGAGGGCACCATATGTTACTCACTAGATAGTTATTCTCCTCACACACGTGGTCGTTTGGAATCGCCTGCATAGGCGGTGCGCAATGTGGGCCCTCCTTGTAGCCACGCGGAGGACCCTGGATTCTCCCTTCGCACACAAGGACTCCAAGGGCTCGGAACACGCTAAGAACACCACCTCGGCCGCCAACCCCGTTCGGGCTGGAGGCACCACCTCCCGTCACTGCACCTAGGCAGTGCATACCTGTAATGTGAGAAGAACCAGGGTTTACAAATATTTCGGAAAAATGAAAACTTGTACTAACCGTTCATAAACCTGTAACACGTCAAAGTCCAGAGAAAGTTCAAAAGCAAATGAACGAAACAGAGGTGCAAGTTAAAAATTTAACTATCCAATTTTATTAGTTAGTTTCACTAGATAAATATTAAAATTTCAAATAAATTCTTATCAAGGGAAAACTAATTTTTACATAATTAAGATAAAGGAAACTAAGATAAGGGAAGAAAAGGGAATTGAGGCTTACAAAGAAAAAAAGATATACAAAAGAAGAGTACAAAGATAAATTTAAATTTCCAATAAGAACATGAATAACATTTATATAAGAAATTTATGTGTAAAACGACACGTGGAGTCAAAAGTATGAAAATTTCTTCATAGCACTGAATGAATAATTCTGGTCGAGGAAAAACCGCAGATGCTGACAGAAGGACAATACGAAATACTCGCCAGATTTGCAGCGGTGGGCTGCTTATAAATTTATCGTGATGAACCTCGAGTGCCGTTACGATTGTCGGAAGCTTATCGCAAAAGACGATATCAAAATCGTTTTCCACGATCTCGGAGTGCACATCGCACGAGCCAACGTGCTCGGGACGGCTCATAGGAGCCCCCCCTCCCCCGCTTGAATTTTTGTCGTCCCTTTAAATTTGTTGTTGTGTCACGTCCGCAGGACTGGTTGTAGCCCGCAACGCGTAGAGCACGTGATGAAAGAAAACAAGGTGCAGTTTGCGGCCCGGCTGTTGTGCGGCGGGTTACAGGTTTGCGAACGGTTAGTACAACGGTCGTCGGTAGGGCCAAGTTGCGGCATCGACGATTCGCACAAGTCTCGCTTGTGACAATCGCGCGAGGTAGACGTTTAATGCTTCTTAAGCGGCGGCGGCGGCAGCGGCGGCGGCGGCGACGACGACGACGACGACGCTACCGCAGCGCGTTTGAATAACGAAATGGAAACCTGCAACCTCAACGAGTTGGATTTCAATGCTATATATAAGGTGGCTCGAAACAGATAGATACGTCCTTTTAATAATACATTTCTGAGTCTATAATCGACTTTTCCTCGACAAAAAAAGGACATCATGACAAGAAAATGAGCCTCGTTTCATGTGTCGTAAAGTCCACTTTCTCGTGTCTGCAACGTCGGGAATTAAAATTAAAAAAGATTATATCGATGCCTGTTATTGGTAGAAAGTACCTCGCAACATTCTTTTATAAGAGAATCAGCTGCTATACCTAATAATTAACGATACTTCATTACTTAACGACGTACACAACTTCTAATTGTAATATCAGTAACAAACGATAATGATATAGCATTACAAACGTACGATTTAATGAAGGGAAAATCTTTTACCTTTAAAACATAATGCAATTATAAACATAATGCAATTATAAACATAATGCAATTATAAACATAATGCAATTATAAGCTAGTACACGAGCGGAAACTCGAGGTCTCTTAATATCTACTCTCGCTATCCGCGTTACATCAGCAAAACGCACGTTCACCACGTCTGGTCTACTACGATTACTCGCAATTTTTAATTTTTCTCCAATTTTTGAATAGAAAATAAAAAACTACATAAATCACACGATATTTATGCAAAATTGGCTTCGCGATTACGCATGGAAGATTCCTGCTGCATAAATGTTTCATGAGTGATCGTATTCGCTGAGTGTATGATCGAGGAAACGCTGAATTTATGATTCATTTATGGGAGTGCCAATACTTTTGCCATTACTCTCTAACGAGAAAATAACTTTGCCGATATAATTACATTTTAATTGTACAATTGAATTAATGTAAATGAAATAATTTGATATCAAACAATTTATTAATTCGCAAAATTGTTTTCCAGATGCATACGCAGGTGAACACGGGCGCTGCGATCTACAGACCGCGCCTGTGCACCCACGTGGAGGGGACGACGAGGAGTGGAGGAGACAACCGATGGCGTCGGTCAGCTGAGCGCACCGCTCACAGCTGGGCGCGCGCGACGCTGTCGCCGAACAGCTGATCGCGCTGTCAGAACATGGCGAGCCAGGCGCGCGTGGCGTGGATCGCAACGAGAAAATCATACCGTCCATTTTCAGCTCGTGCCGATCGCAGACCCATGCAATCTCAGGGCCGTATGGACTGAGAACGTATTTAACGCGTTCGCAGTCCGGTAAGCCACAATTATGAGTCAGAAATCCGCGAATCGACGCACGCGTTTCGACTCAGGAGAGTCTACATGACTGCGCCTCTAAATTACATTAAGATCGATCCCGCTTGAGTTGCCGAACAAAAGAACCATTATCCTTGTAAATTATCTCGCTTAGCGCGCGCGAGTGCGCGCATTCACGCTTGCGGATATGTACGGAGATATGTGTGAGGAAGACGTTAAAGGTCTTTCTAAAAAGGCTTTTTAAACATAATTATCGTCCTTTAGTTATTTCACTCGAGTAACTCGAACAGTAAAGGGCACACCACGCAGTTTGAAGAAAATAGAACATAACAGGAAGCCATGACTCACGCCTTCGCTATGGACACATGTAAAAGACGTATGCTAATTCTGACATCTTTCTCTGTGTGTTCAATCCT